AAGCTGGTTTTTTTTTTTTTTTAAATGTTTCTAAGGGATGGCATTTTTGAGAAGGCTGCTTAAGTTTCAGTTAACTGAAACCTGACCTCCTAACTAAATCCTGAAAGGGCTTAAGCAAAAGTCATGCATATTAAATAGAAAAATGAATTATAAAAACTACCAAAGCGGAAAGGCCATAAAGATCCTCTTTCTCTTCCATTAACAAAGGGAAGTCTAAAGCCATACTCTGAAGTGCCAGGCACACTGGTGAAGGAGAAACGCGACAACTGTAATCTTATTCTGAGAAGTAGCAAAGGAGCCTTTTGTCTCACACACTGCAAAATCTGATACTTCACTGTTTCAAGGCAAGCGGGGTTGTTGTTACTGAACAGGCTGGATTACCCTTTCAAGGGGGACAATGCAACTCCAGATGTACACACAATGAAGACAGAGGCATTGAAACATTAACTGGAGTAGCCAGCCCAGAGTGCCAAATCCCCCAGCAGCTATCCAGCGCTCCTTGCACCTGTTCCTCCCAGCAAATTGATTTTCACCATTCTCCCTTCTATGCTTTGAGAAACTGATCCACAAACCTAATCTTACTCTGCTCTCAAACTTAACTGTCCAATGTTTTATGAGCGCTGTGGAATAGCTTTCTTTCACCACAAGCGCTTTTAAACTCAACTGTACATCTTCCAACAGTGAAATCTCAATGACTTTCTATGTTTCAGAAGCAATGTTAAAAGCTTAATAGGGAAGGAGCTTTTCAACTAATTCAAAGGGAATATTCATGTCTAACTGAATCACATATCAAACCTGCCTTTCATTAAAAGAATCTGACCCAGTGATGAGAATTTTCATGTTTTGGATATCAATTTTTTTAGACTTGCTCAAAAAGTTTTCAGATGCTGCATTTACATGCAGCACTGACTATGATGCTTAACAGAGTTAATAAGTCTTTTTACTGCCCAGCAATATACACTAAATCTGGAATGGCTGTGCCACAGTTTTATCTACTAAGGCTTCTTCTTAATACTGCTGCCACTTCAAAGGAAAAAGTAATGGCAATTGAAAGTCATTCATTACAGCAGACATGGAAAGCAGTGATGTTATATTCAAGCATATTTTGTTTTATATGTTACAAAACATTAAGCCTCATTTGCAAACATTATTTTGCTGACTATAAAAGTTTTCCAAGAATCCCATTCAAGTGCAAACACTGGTCACCCCAGGAATGTGTGGAAAGCAGCCTGCAGAATCCACATCTTCCCCATTACAAAAAAAAAAAAAAATGAAGCAGCACAAGCATAACCAGATATTTAGTACAATCAAATATTTACCACGTAGTTTTTCATTACAACAGGAGTAACTATTTCCACACTTCCTTCCCTCCTCCTGTGTCATCTGAAATTCTCTACCTGAAAGAATGATCTTTTTTTATCCTTTATAGCAGCTTACTGGCTCTTCTTTTTAAACTGAGACACACTAATAATCTGACTGAAGTTACTGACTTCTTTGTTCCCTTCCACTCCGTGGAAGTTTTCAGATAGCACCACAGAATCGCAAGTGCAACAGTAGTCAATATTCAACTGATTAAAGCTGCTATCAAAGTTGTACGAATTCAATGCAGATCTGCTACTGTAACCTTTTTGCTGCACCCTTCAAACAGGCTGCTATGTTGGTATTTATGAAATTCTTCACCTTCACCCTTTGACAGAGTATTACACAATTTTTGCAAATCCGTTATTCACAACAGTTTTTAGTCAGGGTTACATGTAAACATGTACTTCCAGCTCGCCAATACACTCAGGTAGAACATTTCGGGTACCACAGCTCACTAGGTACTTGTCAGCATCCTTCTGCTGGAACACTACATTAATTCACAGGTCATCCTTTTGCAGGAGTAACGTTACTTCCTTCTACACAATTCAGATTTCTGCTTATGTACCCCCTCCTTAACGAAAGCAAACAGTAAAGTACACAACATGTCAGCCAACTTGGCTTAAATAACTACCTTAAAATGAACAAGTTTATTTTGCACTGCAGCTAAGCACAGTGATTACCTGCAAGTTTCGTTCCAGTGGGTGGTTGAACTGCGTGGACAATAAGCCCCGCGGACAGATGGCAATGACTCCCAGAACAGGCAGGAAAATCTTCAGTTTCCTCACATCGTCCTTCACCACTTTTAAGTTGTGCCTTTATTCTGTAGCAATAGGCAGTTACACACTCATACAAACCTACGTTGCTCCATACTGGCACCAACTGGAAACGTGCACCGTAAAAAGAAGGGAGAACAGCTAAATCTCCTGAGCCACAAGTGAGCACTGAGCAGCAAGCAACACGCTTACCCGCTTCTCAGCACAGGGCCAACTGGTAAACAATGCAAGCTTACTTCCGTATTGTGCAAAGACATTAATGCTTCCTTTAAAGGATGCATTAAAGGATTTTAAGGATGCCTAGTTACATGTCTGTCCAAAAGAGAGAGAGAGAAAAAGAAAAAGAGCAAAAAGCTAGATCAAACTGTACTTCTGTTGCTCTTTGCTATCAAACGCTACGAGTTGTAGCTCTAACCTATTGCCACACAATTTAATTGCAGAGTATATAATCACCAATAAAAAAAGGAGTGCGAGGAAAAAAACATACATATCGGGGAAAAATATTTCCTCATGTAACACACTGCCACACTGGTTACTACTGCTTTCTAGGCACGTGGGCTTGTCTGGTAGGCGATCAAAAGGCAGCAAGAAACCTCGGAGAAGGGAAAGGGACAACAAGCCCATGTTAGAAGGCTCCTAAGTAGCTACAATCACCGTACAGAAAGTGGTGTAAAACAAATTTCCAGAATATGACATGTACACCTTTACTTGCTGCCAAGCTGGCCATTAACTACTACAGCTATTAATTTCAGGGCAATGTTTCAAACGCCTTAGAAGTTCCTAGGTCAAACAATCTGCATGGTATGAGCTCACCTTTAAGAAAATGAAGGTGTTCCTAATAAACACCAGGGGTAGTATCTATACACCTTCCTAGGCAGCTGTACATTTTCTTCTACCCTCTTGTTTTGAAATTAGGCCTATACACTAAAACAATAGACAGTATGTTTATAGGAATCTACTTTTCCACTCGCAAACGCAAAATCTGGAAAGAATATGTGCATGGTAAAATGTAACAAAAGTAACTGGGGGAAATCACAAAACGCTTATGATGGTCTGAAAAACCCCAGCGGACTTTATAAATTGTAAAGCTAGAGACATCCCCTACCACATACACCGTTTGCTGCATGCCACCAAAAATGAGTCATCTCCCTTGCCCAGAGGTTTCAGAAGAAAGTCAGAGGACAAACAGCAACGGTCAACAAGAAACAGTAACACAGATAAGAAGTAAAAACATGGTTCAAGGAAAAAAAAAGTCACATTGCCCCAGATTTTCAGAATTTCCTATACAGTGACTACTCATTTTTTCCTGAATTTGTAGGCATACAGAAAACATACAACATTAAATGATATGCAAGCATTGAAACTATTCAAACTGAGTATCATGTTTCCAAAATCATGTCGCCCCAAAACACCACAGATCAAGAGAAAGAAGTACACGCATGCATAATATTTATAAGATAAGATAAGGCATATAGATAAAAGTTATCTTTTTTTAGTTAGTCTAATGAAATATTTTGGTTCTCCAGGTCAGAAACAGAGGCAAATTTCAAAGCTCTATACAAGCAGGGAAAAACTACCCTGAGTTTAATTACATACGTATCAGGTGATATGGGAAGCAATTTAGTTATTAGCTATGGATTAGAAAAGATTTTAGGAGTTAGAAGGTGATAAAATTTCTTCCCAAGGGAAGGAGACAGGTAATTTGTAGTCTGTGGAGCATGCGTGGGAACAAGCATGAAATTGTGGCATGTCAGGTAAAACCACTCTCATATTTATGACTTGTAGCATACAGTTGGGCTATTAGGAATTTAGTTCCCAGTCTCTCCTGCAGGTGTTCTGTAGAACTCCCT